CTTTGCGCTTCAAGTTTGACAACTTTCTTTTATCTTGTGAAAAGCAACGGCTGATATAGCAATGTAGAAAGTACATTCTAGCAAGTAAACCTCTCACCCAAAAGATACGAGACGTTCCCTATCAGCGAGGTCTCGAACTTTATGTAAGTCGCGTTGTCCTTCTGAATGTCTGTCTAAAAGCCTATAGAAATCGGGGAGCCTAGACCGCTGTATTCTCAGCGATTTGTTGGATGAATTTGGTGAATCCCAGGATTTGCAAGATGCGACCGCCATATTATACGCTAGTACGTCTGCTCATATCAAATTTCAGGATAAAGTCCTGATAAACATCGACAGTTTCATCCGATACTGTACGTTTACCTGTTCGTAGAGTGGACCCAAGAAAGCTAACCGACGCAGACGACCGGCGGAGTTATCCAATTCCTCCACAGCTTGTTCTTATTCCCAGAAATCGCCGACAAGGTTTTTAGGGAGATTCAATCTGTGACCCAAGGTCTACGACTCCCGAGTATCAGTGATCAACCAAAGCTCCCATATACGGAGGCAGTATGGAAAGAGGCCGTTCGTTGGAGGCCTTTTATCCCCGTTGGTCAGTCAACATTCTCCTCTTTGTGCACGCGAGTTTACTCACCCCGGTTGTATTAGGCATACCCCATGTCAATGAAGAAGATGAAATCGTTCATGGGTACTTTATCGAAAAGGGAACCATCATCCACCAAAACAATAAGCAAGTCATTCCGTCTCTTCTCGTGACATTGTGCTTATGGATTGTATAGAAGGATGTTGACGGACCCTGCTGTGTGGGGTGATCCAGAGGTATTTCGACCAGAACGGTTCTTGGAGCCAGATGCGTCGCAGAGACCCAATCCCCCGTCTGTACTCTTTGGCTGGGGACTGAGGTGCGTGAATACTCTTCGATGCCTCATACTATTTTCCTAACACTATATACTTGCAATTCCATAGGGTATGCGCTGGAATGCACCTCGCAGATCGTCTAGTCCTGCATATCGTAACAACAATCATCTCGCTGTACAAAGTGGAGCCGTTGGAGGGTGAGAAGATACCCGACCCTGACAGCATCGAGTATACTTCTCGAGTCATCGCGTACGAACTCTTTCCGTCCTCTGAGAAAAGTTGACTAATGGGCCGTATTACGTGTGTACAGGCAACCGGTTGGGTTTCGATGTCGATTCGTGCCCCGGGATGACGAGGCGAGAAACCTTTTGAAGACAATCTCGGTTGATTCGTGAATTGCATGACCATATTCTGTCGGCCAGAATACACTGACATTTAGAAACTGCTTTTCTACCTGTATTTAGAGACCCAATAGAAGGTATATGGAACTTGATGGTAACTTGAATTTGAGGTAAAATACTATCCGACTATCAGCCACCTTCATTGCCGGAAATGGGATTGGGTGGAAGACAAAGCAAGGCTGGGTCGGTGGTCGACCGAGTCGATCCCACGAGCGGACGGATGTCACCTGCCAGTTTTAGTGCAGACCTTGTGGCGTGGATATCGTACGTATCTCGTTAAGATGATTTCTGCACAGTTTTGACTGTTCATAGTCATCACATTGCCACTCTATCGCTGCGCATAGAAGGGTCTGACCGAGAGAACACGTCCACGAGGGATTTCTAATCGTTCTAAATACAATGAGCTCGACGATGTCCTGGACAACTGGCTGGGATTGTATGTAGAAGACCGGTGGCGAGCGCACAAAA